ATTAAACTGGTAAGAAACCTTGAGTATCATTTCAGCTTTGTTAAGCACAGCGCTGACACCATTTACATACGCGGTAGGGGGCTTGGCTGCTATAGCACTGTCTATAGATGGCATCTGGAGCAAGAACGACTTCAGAGAGTGCGTATCGAGCAGCAGTTGTTCAGCACCTAAATTTGAAAACTGCTAGAAAAATCTAGAATTATTCGGTGAAGCCGCTTACCGTGCGTACTCATCGGTTTACACCTGAACAATGCGCCAACGAATTTATGTGAGAGTTGTGTGGCTAGTTTTAAGCACAAATGCGCGAAATATTTTCTTCTGTCAGACAGTAAATCTCTTAATCTCGGAACTGCACCCCTGAGGTGTGATCGTATAGCACCAACAAATGGTGATTCATCTCCTACACCATCCACAGCTGACCATCTATAAGCAAACACATCAAAATAAGCATCCAAACCTGAAAAAGAGCACTTACGTGACTTTAGCAATGGCTTGCAAAGCTGCATCACATGCTCCTTCCAAATCTTGCACAAGAACCGCTAAAGCTTGATTCGTTATTCCATAAAATGTCTCCATTTCTTGACTGAGATCAACTCCCTGCAAGCAAAACAACGGCCTAGAAAATACCCATATTAGGTACAGATAACTTACAGGTAGACGTTGAGCCAGCTTCTCTTGCAGTTGTAGTGTCGTCTCAGCGCACCAGTCAGCCGTAGCAAGAATGCAGCATGTCAAAAATTGTTGGTCAGGGGTCAGCCTAAGCATAAATTATTTCTATTTTTTTTTATTTGATAAGATAGAGTGTGCCTATATAATTATACACAAACACATCAATATCAATGAAGTTAGCACTGACATCAAGGAGAAAAAACAGGAAAACAAGCTGGTTAGATTTTGTAGCTCATCAAACCAATATAAAAAACGCCATGATGGAAATCCTTTACAAAATAAGAATATTGCACCTTGCTCATCAAAAATCAAAGAAAATTAGGGTAATTGTAAATCCACCTTACTACAGAAGTGTCCTCTCTGATGAGATTGAATAAATTGGCGGTGCTTGCGGTACTTTGTTGTCCGTGTGCCGTCGGTAGGAATGCCGTAAGACAGCCATGAGCATAATTACGAAGACAAACGCGTACAACTCCTACTACATCTCTAGAATTCAAAAAAGTAATCCAGTAAAAAAAA